AAAAAAAAAACCAACCAACCAAATAAATGAATAAATAAATTGCCTTCATCATAGTTTTTTTAGTTTGCTGTTTTTGTTTTTTGAGACAGTTTCTCCATGTAGTCCTGGCTGTCCTGGGATTCACTCTGTAGACCAAGCTTGCCTTGAATTTACAGAGATCTGCCTGCCTCTGCCCCCAGAATGCTGGGATTAAAGGTGTGCATAGTCATAGTATACTATCACAGCAATAGAAAAATAACTAAGACATACTCCAAAAACAAAAATGTGGGCTGGGAGATAAATCAGTGCTTGTCCAGCCGGACAACCTGAGTCTAGATCCCTGGATCTGTGGGAAAGACAGTATCAGCTGGTCTTATAGCTGACCTTCACTGTGTGTGTGTGTTCACACATGAACATGTCAACACACACAATAAATACATAAGTACGTTGAATTTTTTGTTAAAAAATGGGATTTGAGATCTGGGTATGAAGGCATATGCCTAAAATCAGCACTTGGGCAACGAAGGCAGAGGGATCAGGTATTCAAGTCAGTCATAGCTACACATGGAATCATGTGTGAAGCTAGCCCAGGCGGCAAGAGCCATTTCTCAGTATAACAAACCAAAAAGGCTTATGAAGTAGACCTGACCTGACTTAGTGGGTGATTCCAGGGAGCCCAAAACAGGTGAGAGAGAAGCCAATAACGGCTGTTTCTGACTTCAGAAGCCAGGTGTATACTGATCCACTAGTGAGCAACACAACCTTTCAGAGCTGAGTATTTGAGACGGCAACACATTCAATATCAGATACTTGAGAAAGCTAAGACAAACTGGAGCTAAGGAGAGACCTCATCTAGGGTTGAGATGTAGCTCAGGGGTAAGCGCTCAGCGCTTGCCCGGCATGCACAAGGCTTGGTAAAGGGCAACATCTGAACATGCAAATAGATAATTAAACCACAGAAGTAGTAAGAAACAAAGTTTTTATGCCAATATCTCTGTGTACAGAATGAACCTGTTAGCAGAATGTATTATATACCTGCTTGTGGATGCACATAAAGAAATCAACAGTCAAATTAGAACTAGCAATATGTAAACAAATACACACGTCACCCCACAGTTTGAAAGCTACTACATAAGGAGCAAAAAGAGCAGACTGACCCACCCACGCTGATCTCCACTTATATATTCAAGATGGCAGTGTTTAGTCTGTTTCTGACCCAGATCTTGCGGTTATTTATGCTCAAGGGGAGAGAAAAACGCCTCTCGTTTGCATAAGGAACCGAATGGTTCTGAGGCAGAGTGACAAAGAATGATCCTACAAATCCTCTTTTCATCCTCTGTAAAATCATAAAGAACTGAGCATTGGGGAAAGAAGACATTTCTCGGCCTTTTATATTGGAAAGAAATAGAAATGCATCATTGTACTTAAAAAAAGGGGTGGGTCTGTATTACACTTCATCACGGCCCTCTAGTGTATGATATTTTTTTCATTATTAAAATTTCGGGGAAGGAGAGGAGGCTTAGCTGGTCACCAAGGTTGGGAATTTGAGTTTTATTCCTGGGACTCCCATGGTGACAGGAGAATCTGCTCTCATAGCTGTCCTCTGGCCTCTAAACATACTGTGGCACACACACACACAAATGTGTGCGATAAATGCAATCATTTTTCTTTGTGACAATATTTTCAATAAGCTATTGATCAATCCCTATCGATGCCATTTTTTTTTTAATGAAGCAGAGCTGGGGCTTATTAAAGGATTTTAAAATAGATTTTTAAGCATGTGAGTTAAGAGAGAAGCGGTCAGAAAAATACCCAAGAGAGTGGGTGTGGTCTTCTCTAAGACCAAGCAGGGGTGTGGGCTTTTTAAGAGAGAGCTGCCATCAGTTAATTCTTATCCTTGCTAAATGTACTTACAGATTAGAAGTAGTCATCTTTATTCCTGATTCTTTACTAAAATAAACTTTTATTTCCTAAAATGATGGCGAGGGTGGGGGATCATTTCTCCTATGAAATATGCAAGAAGCAAACAAACGATCTGTGTGTTGGTTTTATTGATGTGCTTTCCTCTAGAAAAGGCTTTCACAATGCACTCAAACAAGAAAAGCAGAGCTGTGGAGGGCAGGCTGGAAGAACTCTCGGCCACCATTGTCGCCTCACAACCTGCAGCTGCTCTCTTCCCAAGGCCCTCCCCCCCTCCCACACCCGCTCCTTGCCAGCCCTGCCGGATGAATGGACTCCATAGAAACTGGAAATAGTGCGGCTGACAACCACGACTGTGTGTGCTACAGAAAACTAAAAGGGAAACCATCTGTCAAAATTCAAAATTTCAGCTTGGTGCCCCAACAAACATCTCTTTACCTCTGAAATTTTATCCAGCAAATGTTCAGTGGTCTGCCGCTCGGGAGACTCACTCTCTATAGACCATCCTTGCTGATAATGGAGGCTTTCTAAATAGCAAAAGAATGCCACTGTAATCCATTTCCTAGGGGTGAAAGCGAGGCATTTTTTTGTCCCAAGGGGCAATTGAGCAACCACCACAGTCTCTAGCTGAATAGCAGTGCTGTGAGGAGCCCCTGTTCCCACAGTTAGAAGCCCAACTACAGACGGGGCTATTTACGGAATTCAGGGAACTACAGAAAATGAACTGCAGTCGGCTGACATTGCAGTTGTCTGGGGCATGAAAACAACATCACAAAATGGTTTCCTTTTATATTATATAACTCTCCCCTTTTTAATTTGCTATCTCAGTTATTTTTTTACTTGGTATCACCCCTCCCCCCCAAAAAGAGCAATGTAGAAATATAAGCCCACACAAAGAAAGAGCTAGTTTTTAAACTCAATTCTTTCTCCTTACAGTTTCTGAATCCTGTATTAGAAAGGGTGGCTCATTTCTAGGGATAAAATATCCCGGGGCGGTGGGGGTAGGGGATGGGGGATGAGGGAAGTGGGCGTGGAGCGGAGATGCAGAATACTATCGGTAAAGAAAGCTTTCCTAGTAAATTACTAAGTTCTGTTTTGTACATTATTTCTCTTTGGTTTTGTTCTCTTTTGCTTTTTGAGACATGATCTCACACTATAATCCAGGCTGGCCTCAAACTAGCTGCAATCCTCCAGCCTCAGCCTTCAAGGCTGGGATTTGCGTGCATGAGCCACTAAGGCCAGTTAGGATGACCTTGAATTGCAGCTCTTCCTGCCTCAGACTCCCAGGTGCTGCTGAGATTACAGGCGTGGCCTCTTCATACTGGGCTTCTGAATCTTGTTCAAGTAATAATAATAATAATTGTAAAAATCAGCATTTACCCAAGCCGTTTTGACCATCATTCCCATCTTCTCTGCTATTTTTTTTTTTAAGCAATTAAAGATACTGGAACCTGACGGAAGTATTCAAATTTAGTATACTATGAATGAAACGCTAGAATTTTCCATAAAAAAAAAATCTCAATGTAAATTCTGTGATTAAGTGGTGGGGAAAACCTTAGATTATTTTAACTATAGCTTAAGGTTTAAGACATGTATAATCATCCAACCCCAATTTTCTTTCTCCCCTCCCCTCCCCAGCCCCACCCCATAATGGATGCTCGGCTAGTCGCCTCTGCACAGCCTTTGTCTGAAGGATGCAAAAGTCTACGGATGCTAGGGGGAAGGGGTGGGGGAGAGATTACCTCATACCATGTCGCTTGCACCAATCAGCACTCTCCTGTCGCGGCTTCTCTGGGCAGACAGAGGGGTCTGGACCAACAGGAAAAGGCCGTGGCCCATCCCCATGGTGACCGAGCTGTATATAAGGAGCTGCATCCGCCCATGTGCCGCAGGTTCTCTTACATCGACCGCCTAAGAGTCGCGCTGTAAGAAGCAACACCTCCTCCTCCTCGCCTCCGCCATCCTCCCGGCAGCCGCGAAGCAGCAACCATGGTGAGCCAGCCTCCTCTGGCCCTCGGTCACGGGGTGGGGGAGCCAGTCGCCCGAGATCTGCCAGGAAAAGCCTAAGCCTTTTGTCATCCCTGCGGGAAGGGTGGTCCCGATGCTTTGTTAGGGTGAGCTTTGCGCGGAGTCCCTAAGTCCGGCCGCCGCCGCAGTGCGGGACACGGGAACGCCCAGACCCGGGGGAGAACAAAGGCGCCGGCCGGTGTTTGCTCGCACAGCCTGGGGCCGCGGGGCGGGGGCGCAGGGCGCGGGGGTCCGCTGCGGCGGGCGAGCGGGCAGGGCGAGCGGGCAGGGCGGCGGCCGAGCCGGCACTCCGGGAACGCCGCCCCACTTCTCCGGGAAAAGGGTTAGTTTGCGTCGGATCCATGGCAGCCGGTGTCAGGGAGGCGCAGGGGCGGGGTTGTTTGTCTCTTGCTTCCGTGGCGTTTCGGGAGGGGTTCGCCCTCTCTCGACTTCCCTCGGGAGCGGGTTTTGTACTTTTATTTTTTAAAAATTGGGGAAATGTAGTCTTACAAGAGGTTGTGTTTGCTTGAGTATCAAAAGTCCGATTTACTTAACGACGGGGACGTCTCGCTGGGGGGAGGGGGCTGGATGGTTGTCGAGGGACAAAGCCCACTTTGTGGAGCCCGAGTACGCTGATTGTCAGAACCCCGGGAAACGCCCTTCCCCGCCCCCCAACCCCCGCAGACAATGAAAGTTGTAGCTCTAAAGACCATAGAAGAATATCTCTATAGCATGAAATAATAGTAATATATTATGTGGTATGTAAAAATTGATCGAATAAAAATACCATTTTCTAGTTTTCAATGTTAATCTTTTTCTTCAGGTTTTTTTTGTTGGCGCTTGTTTCTAACTTAGCTTTAAGGATATTTCGGGTCCATACAGTGGAAAAGATTCTGGAAAACCTTCAGAAAATAATGAAAATGCTGCAAAGAAAAAATTATACTCTGTATCCAACTGTCTTTTGTTCTAATATATCTCCACTAATTCATGAATTCAGGCAAATGACCCAGGCAGGGTTAGGACACAGAAAGCAGTGAAGAGATCGTATAGACAGTTGCTGGAAATAGAGCTTTCTCTGTTAAATAATGTAACAAAGGGCACAGGCTAGCACAAGGCACAGACAGAGAACACAGCAATGCAGAAGTCACACTTTGTCTAGCCTCTAACCTCAGAGCACTGATGGATTCTGCAGATACTCTGCAGAAGGGTGTGGCTCCTGGCCTCAGCCGCAGTAGAGGTCCCTCTTGAAATACCAGATCCTTATAGGATGAAACATTGGTCTTTCCTTACCAGGAAAAGAAGCCATTAAAGTAATAACAGACAATTAATCTCATTTTACAGAATCTGTGCTTTGAATATTTTTCAAATATGAAAGCTCTTCTATTCAAGTATGGCCGTGGGAACAATGGGTCTGCACCATGTCTTAAATATGTATTAAGGTGACATTCTTCAGACCACACCCCTTTGCAGTATTTGTTGCAGGTCCTTATTCTTTCTGTTGTATGAGGATATGACTTCAAATAAATTTCAACAATATTTGTATTATTAGAAACACTTTAGAAATCTATTAAAATTTAAAATAGAAATACAGCTTAATTTTATAATTTTTTTTCCCCTTTCCACAGCGTGAGTGCATCTCCATCCACGTTGGCCAGGCTGGTGTCCAGATCGGCAATGCCTGCTGGGAACTCTACTGCCTGGAACATGGCATCCAGCCTGACGGCCAGATGCCCAGTGACAAGACCAT